ATATATCCAGGGCTATAAACTCAAGTTTAGAAAGATTTGACATTATTTAGAAAAAGAAAGTTCATACCTCTTATACTTTCAAAGTATTTACTCGAGATGGCAGAGTCTCGTGCTGATAATGTGTTATAAAATAAAGACTGTAAAGTAAAGACAAGTATAGAGAGAAACTGATATATTATTCAAACTTCAAACTTCTGTACATAATGGACTGAATTCTCCTCTATTTATAGAAGAAAGGAAGCTGCTACTGCAAGCTGCTGTGTAAGCTGCTTGTAAGTTGCTGCTGTGTAAGCTGCTTGTAAGCTGCCGCTCTAAACTGTTGTGCCAGATATAGATAATCTTCTATCATGGGTAATATTTATCCATAGCGGAGTACCGAAAGGATAAGCTTCTTCAGGAGGCTTATTTCCAATAGAGTACTAAATAGATAAACATATTTATGGCGGAGTCTCATATGGATAAACTTCTTCAGGAAGCTTATTTACAACAAAGTACTAAATGAACATCCATAATATAATATATTCATAACACTCAAAAGTATATTAAACGGATTATTTAAACATACTGCCAAATTTGAGGGATATTTTTGTCATTTTGTTCGCATCACACAACTTTAAGGTTTATTAAAGTTAGAAGGAATATGATATTTGCAATCAAGTTAGCCGCATATATAACTTCATATTTTAATTTTTAATGACATAGGATATGATGTCATAATCTGCATATAATTTTAACTAAATTCAACATAAGCACCCCAAACCGGATCTGACTCCTGTTCAATATGCATAATTTTTAAATTATCTCAAAGTTGACCTTATATTCTTCACAAATGTCCTCTTAAATTATAATTGCAATCTAACAATAGTAGATAATTCTCTGCGAAGTTAATTTATTTGGTTAATCTGACAAATCTGCTCCATTAATCAGATAAAGGATACCTTAAGTGATTAAAATACCTGCCTTTACATTTATTCGTTTCCTTTTATAGTAGCCCTATGGATTTAAATTTGACTCCATTTACAATGATAATACAATAATGAATGCTATAGATGTATGATCAAATTTTATCTAGTCAATTCAGGAATTAGACTCAAAAGTAAGAGCTAATACCTAAGGTTATGAGAAAAGGTGTAGGGCCTTTTGTATCTCAAAATAATTAACAAGTAAAAGGGCATCCCGATGCACCAGGCTCCCGCTATGCGCGGGGTCCAGGGAAGGGCTAGAACACAAGGGTCTATTATACGCAGTCTTATCTTATATTTCTGCAATTGAACCCGTGACCTCCTGATCACATGGCTGCAACATTACCGGTTAGTTCCCCTTCAATTGGCCTAATAAGTAAAATCACCAAATGATTGCCAGTCAGTATGAAGGCAATTCCATGTGTTCTACATGTGTTATTGTCTAAAAGAAGCTAAAAGGAGGATGTGTTGACTCTTAATGGTATTTCTGACAATGTGTCCAGATAATGGTTTATTTACATTAAGAGTTATGAGCTTACTGGAATTGCACATGCAATGTCTTGATATAGTTTTGGCTTTGTCACCAGCAGTTTTTAAGACACAGCTTACTGGAATCTGCAGCTTCATTTTTATTGCAGTTAAAGGGAAACACTTTTATTATTTAACTTCATTTGATGTCATTAGGACTCGCGTGGGAATGATTCATACATATGGTAGTTTTGATCCACAATGTTGATTACAGGCATAAAAAAATAAGTTTCTTGTAAATAATGTCAGTCCAAAATGAGAATGCTAGAAGTTCGCAATCATCGTATTGAAAGTTTGAGATCTATAAATCTGGCTAGATTTCAGATAAAGCTCTATTCCATCTATAATACACTTTTTGAATGGCCTAGTTTTCGCCTGCTATACAATCTGTTTTGATTTATCATTTACTAAAGATAATGATCATGACTCAATAAACAAGAAGCTGCTGGTTTCCCCATTTTTGGTGCAAAGAAGAAGTTGAACAACAACATGAAGTAACTGAGAGGACCAATGCTTTGTGAAGATCTCCACCAGCTGCACCTTTCTTGATTAGTGAAATGATGTAGTCCATGAAGACTGAATCACAGGGTAATGTAATAGGGCCGCCACTTGACAGCCCAAACTCTTCTTCAGACATGTTCAAAAGTTGCAAAATGACCTCATTTTCAAGGTAAGCCAATGGAATCACAAAGCGCCTTTGATCAGTTGTATACACTACAAACTGGCCTTTACCGGCTGTAAAAGATGAAGATGTACTACAACTGTTTGCAGCATTGACATTTCTTGGAAGTGAAATCCTCCTCCTCTGCATAGCTGCAAACTTCTGCCATCTCCTGGCCATCTTGATGAGTTTCTTAGCACTAAGCATTGTTCTTTTCTCTGGAAGATTGGAAGCAAGAAAGTAAAGTAGATATGTAGAGACCTTTGGAAGCTGAATAGATAGTGGTTGTAGTTGATGATGAAAAGGCTCATGGAAGGAGGATTATTTATACAAGAGGCTGAAGACAAAATTTTAGTTGGAGTTGATATATTTGCCAATAATCACAGAAAGCAAAGCCATGTGCTGCTGCCTGTTGGCCAAGTTGATATGGGGCGTTCAATATCTGGATGAAGTTAGTTTGAATATATCAAAGATGATCAGTTTCTTCCCCTCTTCACATTGGTCGACAACAGAATGTGCGAGTCCTAGTTACTTGAGATATCAACTCACATGTAGGACTTTTCACAAGTGCCAATAGTTTTTGAGACCTTTAATTGAAGATTAGATTTTTCAGTGGCAGATTATGTTTTGCTGATGAAAGGCAAGACCATGTGTTGCTGCCTGCTTGGTCATGTTTATGGGAAACCTTTAAATTGTAACCAAGGCAAATTGTGCTACTTTTCTTTTGCCAACATCTCTTCGGACTTATTGATTCCAGTGCCATCCAGCTGTTGGATAACTGAATGGTAATTCAAAAGCAACTGTTTGATTTTCATGATCAATATAAGCTTTCATCAACAGAAATGAGATGAAACTTATCCATATGACTGTAAAGACGGCTTATTCATTTAATTGGGAAAGCCAAAAGCTGGATATGCTAAGTGCACACAACCTGTAAGGGATTTAAAACAGAGGTATTTTTTGTATTTGTCAAGTCAAATCATCAGTCTGCGACCAGCATTAAGACTCATGAAAACTTCCCTGGTAGAACTACTGTGGGTCTGAATATTGTAATCCAGAACAAGATAAGTCAGTAATCAAATTATTAGTTATATCCCAAGTTCAAGTTGCGTGGTGGTTTCTTTAACAACGGATCCAGATATTATGGCTTACTTACATCAGATTGCGGAGCTAACTAGAATTGCATATGCAATGTCTTGATATTTGAAGAGCTGACTTTGGTTTATAGGGTGAGGAGAACCAGTAAGATTAATAGATATCCTTAACAACAAAGAAGCAGTCACTAACTAGACTCATGAATATCTGTGTCTAAAAGATATTGCACGACGATATTCACCACTATATATTTGAATATGAATGACCTATTAGTAGAAATTAGAAATTAAGTGGTGATGAGGTAAGTATGCTGCAGAGTGAACATTGAGCATTGTTCTAGATTTACTAAGTATGAGATTTAATGCCATGGAAGGAGTAAACTTTTAACGATTTCACTTCATTTGAACTCGTTAAAGTTAATTTTCGTGTCATTAAGACTTGCCTGGGCTTAATTCATTTATCTGTAAGTTTTAACCGACAAAGTTGACTACTCGGATAGTGACAGCCCAAGATGAGATTAATCTAGAAGTTTTCAATCATCAAACTGAAAAACTGAGATCTATAAATCTGGTTAAATTTCAGATAATGTAATACACAGTTTCAATTGCCTACTTTTCACCTGCTACATACAATCTGTTTTGAGCTATCATTCGCTAAAGTATAACTTAATAAACAAGAAGCTGTTGGTTTCCCCATTTTTGGTGCAAAGAAGAAGTTGAACAACAACACGAATCAACTGAGAGGAGCAATGCTTTGTGAAGATCTCCAGCAGCTGCACCTTTCTTGATTAGAGAAATGATGTAGTCCATGAAAGCGGAATCACATGATAATGTAATAGGGCCTCCACTTGGAAGCCCAAACTCTTCCTCAGACATGTTTAAAAGTTGCAAGATGACCTCATTTTCTAGATAAGCCAAGGGAATCACAAAGCGCCTTTGATCAGTTGTATACACTACAAACTGGCCTTTACCGGCTACAAAAGATGAGGATGTACTACAACTATTTGCATCATTTTCATTTCTTGGAAGTGAAATCCTCTTCCTCTGCATGGCTGCAAACTTCTGCCATTTCCTTGCTATCTTGATGAGTTTCTTAGCACTGAGCATTGTTCTTTTCTCTCGAAGATTGGGAACAAGAAAGTAAAGTAGAAATCTAGAGACCTTTGACAGCTGAATTGATAATGCTAGTAGTTGATGATGAAAATTCTCATGGAAGGGGGATTATTTATACAAGAGATTGGAGCTGAAGTGTTTACCACTAACCACCAAAGGCAAAGCCATGTGCTGATGCCTGTTGGCCATGTCCATATGGGGCCTTCAATTTGTGGATGGAGCTAGTTTGGATTTATGGGAGATGCAAAAGTTTCTTCCTTTCTTTACTATGATCTACAACAGAATGGATGTGTTAGTTATGATATCAACTCATATATAGGATTCTCATAAGTGCCATAATTTGAGACCTTTAAATGAATAATTGAATTTTCAGCGATAGATTTATGTTTTGCTGGTGAAAGACAAAACCATGTTTTGGTGACTGCTTTGTCATGTAGATAGGGAACCTTAAATAGTGACAATGGCTATTTGAAGGTAGGCAAGGCAAAATCATGTGCTGCTAATTAATATGGGACCTTAGGATTAGTGGACATGGTTCTTTGTCTATTTTAAGCAAAGAGGTTGATATATTTCTTCCATTTTCTAGGGCCAAGTTAAAGTAATAAATTTACAACCTTATTTCTATGCAGCTGAACCCACTTTGTTTCTGCTAGGTGGTTTCTCTAACAATGGATCAAGACATTATGGTTTACTTACATCAGAATTATAGAGCTAACTGCAATTGCACTTGCACATGCAGTGTCTTGATACATTTTTTATCATGTCACCAGCATATTTGAAAAGCTGGATTTGGTTTAATAGGCTGAGGAGAAATGCTTAACAACAAAGAAGCCACTAACTAGACTCAGACAGCGGCGGATGTAGTGTGCTAGTGACAGGTTCAATTGAACCCATAACTTTTGAGGCCGGAGTAAAAATTTGTGTGTAAAAAATCATATAATTGCAAAACAGTATATATGAACCCATTACGTTTAATGCTAAAAACCTTAAAAGTTGAACTCATAGAGTTTAAATCTTGGATCCGCCATCTATGCTTGAAAGATAATGCACGACAATCTTCACCACTATATATAAGGATATGAACGACCTATTACCAGAAACTAAAATGCAAGTGGTGATGAGGTAAGTGTGTGTAAATAATGGCTTCATTATCGATCTGAATCGATCAAGTATGAGATTTAATTGCAGTGGAAGCAGAACACCTTTTTCGACTTTACTTCATTTGAACTCTTTAGAATTAAGTTTCATGTCATTAAGACTTGCATGGGCATGATCCATATATCTGTAAGTTTTGATCACAAAGTTGACTACTTGGATTAAAAAATACAGTGTTTCCTGTAAATAGTGCCGGCTCAAAATGAGAATCTAGAAGTTCTCATTCACAAAATTGAGATTGAAAGCTATAAATTTGGCTAAATTTCAGATAAAGTTGTATTCCATCTGTAATATACACTTTCAGGCTTTTCACCTGCTATACAATCTATTTTGAGCTATTATATAGTAAAGAAAATGTTCATGACTAAAAAACAAGGAGCTGTGGGTTTCCCCACTCTTGGTGCAAAGAAGAAGCTGAACAGCAACATGAAGTAACTGAGAGGAGAAATGCTTTGTGAAGATCTCCAGCAGCTGCACCTTTCTTGATTAGTGAAACCATGTAGTTCATGACAGCTGAATCACACGGTAATGTAATAGGGCCTCCACTTGGCAGCCCGAACTCTTCTTCAGACATGCTTAAAAGTTGCAAAATGACTTCATTTTCCAGGTAAGCCAAGGGAATGACAAAGCGCCTTTGATCAGTTGTATACACTACAAATTGGCCTTTACCGGCTATAAAAGATGAAGTACTACAACTATCTGCAGCATTGCCATTTCTTGGAACTGAAATCCTCTTCCTCTGTATGGCCGCAAACTTCTGCCATCTTCTGGCCATTTTGATGAGTTTCTTAGCACTGAGCATTGTTCTTTTCTTTGGAAGATTGGGAACAAGAAAGTAGAGTAGATATCTATAGACCTTTGATAGCTGAGTAGATAATGCTTGGGGTTGATGATGAAAAGGCTCATGCAAGGGGGATTATTTATATAAGAGGCTGGAAACAGGAGTTGAGTTGGAGCTGATTGTTGGCCATGTCGATATGGGACCTAAAATTTGTGAATGAAACTAGTTTGAAATGTTCGAAAGATGATAAGTTTCTTCCTTTCTTTGCTTTGGTCGATAACAACAGTTAGTTATGACATCAACTCATATGTAGGACCTTTGAACAGTCTCAGTAGTTATGACTTTTCAGTGGCAGATTATGTTTTGCTGGTGAAAGGAAAAACCATGTGCTGGCAATGGTGAGGCTCTCATGTATAATTAACTAATGTTTTCTGTTCACCAAAGAGAATACAAGAAAAAACCTATCATCATCTATGCTTCAAACTATATCTACACTCAAAGACCCCATATCAACATTATCAACAGGCATTACCACATTGCTTTGTCTGGTGATTAGTTGCAAAATCTTAAGCTGCAACTCAAAGTCTATCTAAGGCCTCTTTTATATATAAACCTTTTTATGAGCCTGTACATATCAAAGACAAACACTATCAGTTTCCTTTAAAGTTATCGATTATCTAGTCTACTGTCTTTTTTTTTTTTTAATCTTCCAAAAAAGAAAATGATGCTCAGTGCTAAGAAACTCATCAAGATGGCCAAGAAATGGCAGAAGTTTGCAGCAATACAGAGGAAGAGAATTACTTTTTCAAGATCCAATGAACATGATGCTGATAGTTGTAGTATATCATCCTTTGTAGTTGACAAAGGGCATTTTGTGGTTTATACGGCTGATCAGAAGCGCTTTGTGGTTCCTTTGGCTTATCTTCTGTATACGGTCAAAACCGGTTTCGACCTTCGTATGATTGGTCAAGATTGGAACATAGTAGACCGAATGTCATCTTCATAATATCGAGTATGAGATCTGAAGCCAGGTTACTTAGCTCAAATTGCTGGGACCGACCGAATGCCGATCTCGAACTCATTACCGAGCTCGAATCCAAATCGAACTATGATGTGAGGTGGTGTCATCGAGCCTAAGAGCCAGAGACCAACCAATATCGAGCCCGAGTCGATATCGAGCCTCGAGTTAATATCGAGCTCTAAATCTGAAAATCGACCAATACCAAATCTGATCAAGATCGAGCCAAGAGACAAGAGCTGTTATGGCCGCACTGAAGGAGAGAATCTCGGCGGGAATTAGGGAAAAGCTAATCTATCATGGGTTCCTCACTATGTATTTTTAATTATATCAAAAGTAGGATCCCTCTACTATAAGAGGGATGGCTATTATTTCTGTAAGTTGATCGGATATTAAGGCATTCATACACTCTCATATTATTGATATTCACATAGAAAAACATACTGATATTCATATAGAGATTATCCCTTTTTGGGCTTAGTACATTGATTCATCTTGTTTGTTCATAAAATATTTTCCACTCAGTTTGGTTTGTATTTCATTCTTTATACAGTCAATACTCAATATATTTCTACTTATTTTCCGATTTGTGCCAAGTTATACCACGTATCCTTAGAACTACGTATAAATTCAACTTTATCCGTTTTTCGGGTAAACAGTTTGGCGTCCACCGTGGGGCTAAGGATAACAGTTGTTATTTGGTACGAATCTCTGCAAAACACACCATTTTACACTTGCTCTTGGAAGTATCTTTGATTTCAGGTTGAAAATAACGAATTCTCAATTAATGGCCCTACCTATCGACAATGAAGCTAGCCTTCAAGATGAGAACAACAACTTAACCCCCGGGGGTGGAAGGCCACTCGTCGATCCCATTGGAGCTCGGGTCGAAGAGCCAATAGACGTTAATTCACATGCGGCCATCGAGGCAAACCAGCGTTCCGACCCTGAAAATAACATTCATGGTGGAACTCAGTCTGCAGCTCGAAATACCCAAAACGCTGAGGAAAACAGAATCAACTTGCGTATGATTTTCGAGATGTTGCAAGCTCAACAAGTAGCAATAGCCTAGTTGCAGAGCCAAACCCAGGCACCGACCAGACTCGAGCCCAGTCCACCCCAAGAAGTCACCCACTAAACGGGGCTAGCTATAGTAAGGTCAAATGAGTAAGAATCGGGGACTAATCCTGAAATTGTTAAGATGCTCGAAGAACTGACGAAATGAATAGAGTCAGGAGAAAGGAGGATCGAAGCAAACGACAAAAAAATGAAAACGTATAACTCCAGGGTTGATCAAATCCCAGGGGCACCGATATTGAAGGGCTTAGATTCCAAAAAATTTGTACAAAAGCCTTTTCCCCCGAGCGCGGCTCCTAAACCAATCCAAAAGAAGTTTCGCATGCCCGAAATTCCTAAATATAATGGAACAACCGACCCCAACGAACATGTCACCTCTTACACATGTGCCATTAAAGGGAACGATCTAGAGGACGATGAGATCTAATCTGTATTATTGAAAAAATTCGATGAAACCATGTCAAAGGGAGCAATGATATGGTATCATAATTTACCATCTAACTCTATCGATTCTTTTGCTATGCTTGCAGATTCTTTCGTAAAAGCACATGCCGGAGCCATAAAGGTCGAGACCAGGAAATAGGACCTTTTCAAGGTAAGATAGAAGGACAACGAGATGCTAAGAGAGTTCGTATCTTGTTTCCAAATGGAACGAATGGATCTACTACCGGTCACTGACGATTGGGATGTACAAGCTTTCACTCAAGGACTGAACGAGCGGAGCTCGATGGCTTCATGACAGTTGAAGCAGAATTTGATCGATTACCCGGCTATTACTTGGGCCGATGTACACAATCGATATCAATCGAAGATCACAGTTAAAGACGACCAGTTGGGGTCTTGGTCCATTATTAAAAGGGATATCGACCGAGAACCAAGGTCAAACAAGGATCGATATAAGCCATATAACGGAGATCGTAGGGGTAGCGAACCTTCACGTAACCCCGTACAAGGATAAAGGAGAAATGATCGAGGCCAAGGGTCTCGGGGGTTGATGAACAGGATTGGATTCGACAGGCATACCGGACCTAAGGAAGCACCACGGTTATCAGAGTATAACTTCAGCATCGATGCATCTGCCATCATGTCGGCTATCGGACGCATCAAAGATAATAAATGGCCTCGACCTCTGCAGACCGATCCCGCCCAAAGGAATCCCAATCAAATGTGCGAATATCATGGCACTCATGGCCACAGAACGGAAGATTGCAGGCAACTGAGGGAGGAGGTAGCCTGGTTATTCAATAAAGGGCACCTTCGAGAATTTTTAAGCGACAAGGTCAAAAACCATTTCAAAATCAGGGATTTCAGTAGACAAAACGAACAAGAAGAGCCACAATACATCATCCACATGATCATGTGTGGGATCGATACACCCAAGGGCCGGTGCTTAAACGCACTAAGATGTCGATTGTAAGAGAAAAGCGATCGGACTCAGAATTACACCCTTGAAGGAACCTTATCCTTTAATAATGAAGACGCGGAAGGAATCATGCAACCACATAACGATGCACTAGTAATATCTGTACTTATGAATAAAACTCAAGTTAAACGTGTGTTAATTGATCCAGGTAGTTCGGCCAACATCATTCGATCGAAGGTCGTAGAGCAACTCGGTCTACAGGACCAGGTCGTGCCCGCAACCTTGGTACTAAACAAATTCAATATGGCATGTGAAACTATAAAAAGCGAAATAATCCTACCAGTTAACGTGGTTGGGACCATCCAAGAAATGAAGTTCCACGTGATCGAAGGCGATATGAGATACAATGCCCTATTCGGAAGACCATGGATCCACAACATGAGGGTTGTACCCTCGACCCTCCACCGGGTTTTGAAGTTCCCAACGTCGGAGGGAATCAAAACGGTTTATGGGGAGCAACCGGCCGCAAAAGAAATATTTGTCGTTGATGAAGTGATTTCGATATCATCATTATCATCAGCAAAGGGATCAGATTCAAAGGAGGAACGAAATACCAAATAGCAATCACAAATGTCAGCTTCGACCCAATTAAAGAATCAGAAGACTGACGAAGACAACGAACATAGAGTCCCCCGATTTTTCGTAGTTCCCGGTGATTCTGACGCTACCCGATCAACGGTCAAAGAACTGGAGCAAGTCATACTAATCTAATATCTGCCCGAACGAAAGGTATACCTGGGCACGGGGTTAGATCTCAAGCTCAGGAGAAAGCTTATTCAATTTCTTATAGCTAACATAGACTGTTTCGCTTGGTCCCATCTTGACATGATTAGGGTCCCACCGAGAATCACCACTCATAAGCTAAGCTTGGACCCAAAGTTCCACCCGGTAAAACAAAAAAGAAGGCCCCAGTCCGAGGTCAAACATGCCTTCATCAAAGACGAGGTAACCAAACTTCTTAAAATAGGGTCCATTCTGGAAGTAAGATATCCCGAATGACTAGCAAATATAGTGGTAGTCCCTAAAAAGGGGAACAAACTTAGAATGTGTATAGATTATAAAGACCTAAATAAAGCATGCCCTAAGGATTCTTTTCCTTTGCCTAACATCGATCGTATGATCGATGCCACGGCCGGCCATGAGACTCTTAGTTTTCTCGATGCCTATTCCGGGTACAACCAAATACAGATGAACCCAGAGGATCAGGAAAAGACCTCGTTTATCACTAAGTACGGGACTTACTGTTATAAGGTAATGCCCTCCCCTCATGAAATAGGGAATGGATATCATCGGGCCCCTCCCATCGCCCCCAGGTAAGACTCAGTTTATTTTGTTTATGACTGATTATTTCTCTAAATGGGTTGAAGCATAGACTTTCGAGAAAGTGAGAGAAAAGAAAGTAATAGACTTCATTTGGGACCACATCATATGTCGGTTCGGGATTCCATCCGAGATTGTATGTGACAATGGAAAGCA